CGGCGACAGCCGATACAAACCCTTAAAAAACCACCCTCAGCACCCAACATAAAGAACCCAGTTCAAAAATAATGATCTTGCTCAAAAAACCCAAAGGGCACAAACCCAATCTGAATACTACACCTTTGTTCCAAAATAAAGGTGTAGCGACAATAAATGGCTACTGAGCCAATTCAGAACCATTTCACGTCGGGTCTCAATAAACACCAAATAAAGGTATGGCGACTATTAAAATAAAGGTGTAGCGACAACACCAAATAAAGGTGCAGCGACGGCACCGGACGCTGCACCTTTATCTTGAGATGAAGGTGGGGCGACCGCCTAAATAAAGGTATAGCGACAGCACCCGACGCTGCACCTTTATCTCGAGATAAAGGTGTAGCGACAATACAAATAAAGGTGTAGCGACCAAGCAGGAAGCACACCTTTATAACACAAACAGCTTCACTGGGCACTATACGCCCTTATTACAACACCGGTTCTCCCCTAAGTAACAATATTAGACTTTGTACAAAAATCTCCACACATTCTCAGCCACAAATGACAGGGTTTTTTAATAAAATTTTTCCCTGAATAATAATCAAAAAAGTAAACCCCTAATTCGCCCTCGGCATTAAATACAAAATCCTTCAAGGCCTAATCAAAATTCTTCCAAAAGCGATAAGCGCATACCAAAGATTGCACACCATTAATCAAACTATATGTTGCGATTTGTACCTTGTCAAACACCGACAGCCAACCAGGCTTAGGCCCTTTGGCACCCGCGCCCATAAGGGCAATGTATATTTTTATATAACTTACGGGAATGTACAACTAAAAATCTGTGATATTTATGTTAGTAATGTATACAAATAGGAATAATAAACAATTTGGAATTTGGTTTGCTCGCCCTTTTTCTCGCGGTCCGCGTCAGGCCTACCCCGGGTCTTGGCCGTCCGTAGATTGATTTAAGTCGCGATGTAATAAAGAGTTATGCTTTGAATTGCACACTCTGCATGAGGATTTTGTACAATTTTGAACACTGTGATTTGGATTAAAACAATTTATACATAGTTTTAACTTTTTTGTCTCACTATTTCTTTCATCGACCGATAATTTTTTAAATTTATCGCATTCAAAAATTAAGTGATCTGCCTTGCAATAATAACACGAGAATTTTGTGTTTCTATTAGTATTTGTATTTGCAAACGAGCCACGTTGTCGATTTTGTTTAAAGTCTTTAAACTCAGTCTTGTTTATTGTTTGTTTATTTGTCGTACTTTTTGATTTTGTCAATTCTAATTTTTCAAGCAAAGAACATTTATTTTTTAGAAAGAGGTTAAGTTCTGACCAAACCGGAAAATCCCCAGCAATTTCATGAGCTTCCCACTCCCTTCTAGTCTTACTGTCAAATTTGTTTACTAAAATAGCGATTAGTAATGCATCCCATTGATCAGTGGGTTGTTTAAGTACTTTTAACGACCTAATGTTTTTATTAAATGTGTCAAATAACCTCCGTAAGTCTACATAACATTCCTTTGTTAAAACTGGTGCATCCAACAATGCCTGTATATATGTGTCTATAATAAGTCTACTATTTTCGTACCTTTCTTCCAAAAGTGACCAAGCCACAGTATAATTGTCTGAAGTTATTGAAAATGAAGAAATTAACTCCGCAGCCTCGCCCTTAAGGGAAGACTTTAAGTATTGAAACTTTTGTACTGGTGGTAAGCTATAATTAGTGTCTACTATTGCAAGAAATGCATCCTTAAACTCGAGCCAATTTTCAATATTTCCCGAAAACGTGGGAATCTTTAACGAAGGTAAATTACTTTTTGGAAAAACATAACCATGATCACTTTGACCTTGAGATCTGTGATCGCTACTTTGTGAGCCACTATGATTTGACTCTTTTTGTTGGAACTCACTCTGAGCCAACGCGTACTTGTTAATAGCTGTCCTAGCCTGAGCAACTAACTTCAAATAATCATCAAAAAAATCTTTTTCATCAAGCTCCTGACTTTTTTGTTCAGTTGACAAAGTTAAAGTCTCCAAAAGGCTTGAAATGTCCAATTGAACTCTAGAAAAATCATCATAACTTGGTTCAAATTTACTTAACCTAAAAGATAACTCATTGTACTGAATATCTGTCAAACTATTTTGATCTAAACTTTCCACGAAATTTTTAAATCTAGTCAAACTACTCCTAATTTGAGCCCTTTTGTACTTAAAAGCTGTAAGGTCTTTATTTTCTGCCATAGTTATACATTAAATTTACCAAACTTGTCCAAATCGTCCTTGTCAGGGAATACGTAGGTAATAAGATATTGACTTACTCTCACTTGTCTTTTCAGGTAGGTACACAATTGTTGGTGTAACTTGCCTTTAGTTGTCTTCAACAGGTACACAATCGTCGGTGTAATGTTGCAGAACTTGCCTCCGTTGTCTTCAACAGGTACACAATCGTCGGTGTAATGTTGCAGAACTTGCCTCCGTTGTCTTCAACAGGTACACAATCGTCGGTGTAATGTTGTAGAACTTGCCTCCGTTGTCTTTAACAGGTACACAATCGTCGGTGTAATGTTGTAGAACTTGCCACGTTCTCATCGGTTCGTAAGGACCAAATTTTATGTACGAGCCTTCTTCTCGTTCATATGTTACCTTGTGCCAGTGGACTGTATTTAATTGAAATAATATATTGATTGCAAACTGGTTTAATTCACTAATTTACAATAAAAACTAACAAAATTAAAATAGCGTCTATCTGCCATTTTCTTGATTGCCTTCTTCTTCTTCTTAAAAACGCCTCCCTTCTGTCAGGTGACTTCCGCGGTAAATTTGAATAAACTGTTTTTATATCCAACAGGCCCATTGGCAATTATTCCTTTAGGAAAAATTTTCAACGCAGTTTAATTAATTAATAAAATGAAAAAAATCATGTCGTATATAGTTTTTTTTGAAGCATAAAATAGTTTTCATTTTAATACTAGTTCAAAAGTGAAATTACGACCTCTATACTGTGGAGAGTATTGAAACGCTCGACTGACGAATAGAACTCTATACCGTGGGGAGATTTAGAAAACAATATTCAAACGTGGCGTCATCCTATACACTTCTATAATTTTCCGTTTGCTGTGCAGTAGTACTGTTTTTAAAATAAATAAACTACTTAATGGTTTTAAAGAAATAATAATCCACGTCAACGGCAAAGACCAAATGATCAAATAATTCTGAATTATTTTAATAACAATCCGAAAGAATTTTTTTAAAATATTTAAATCTAAGCTCGCTTTTCTTAAACTTATTATTATCTAAAGTTGTCATTAAAATAATTCAGAATTATTTCATCATTTTGTCTTTGCTGTTGACGTGGATTATTATTTCTTAAATTCTTATTTCTAAATTCATTAAATAGCTTATTAATTTTAAAAAAGTACTACAGCCTATAGGCTGCCTTTCAGGTTGCCTATTATTAAATTCTCTGCTTCTCTCGCTGAACGATCGTTATCTCCTACTAAACGGACAATAACTTTTAAATAAACTATTAAAAAATACACAAAAAGGACGCTACTATTTTCTGTCAAATCGCCTGTTTTTGGTTTGACGTTTGTTTGAAGTTGTAAGCATAGCTATCTTAGTTTTTGTTTTGTAGCAATAATTAATTATTAATGATTATAACGTAAAAAAATAAACTTTCCAAAATAGTTATTAATTGTTTATTTTTGATGAAATTTGGTATATACCCATTTTAAAGCCTGCCAAACTCGGTGGCGTACCTATTTTTTTCCTAAACCTTTTATATGTGTTTCTATTGTCGTTATAAACATTTAAAAAATCAATAAATAAACCGTTGTAAAATAATTATCAATCGATTGTTTTTAATAAAATTTGGTATTTACCCATTTTTAAGCATGCCAAATTCAGTGGCGTACTTATTTTTTTCGTAAAAATTACCCTAAATGTTTTTTTTTAATTTTGACACAGAAAAAAAATTATAGTAGGCATGTGTCGGGTGACTTTGAAAACAACTTTAACAGCTCTAATAGAGTTTTTTATTCTCTATCTTTTGAGCCTTTGTTCAATAAAATCGGGTTACAAATAAAAAAGTTACGGGGGTGTTTCCATCTTAAGTGGGCCACACTGTATATATTAGGGTGAGCCAAAAAAACTAACCTATCGGATTTATGGGTTAAAATGAACCTACATACCGAGCAAAAAATTTCCCTGCAAGGCAAAATTTTTTGCTCAATTTTAAAAGGTGTCGGTGAGCATTCTAAGTTTTCCATTGAAATAACACGTAAAAAAATCTTTTTTCATTAAAAAGACTATAACTTTTGAACCGTTTGAGATAAAATTTTTTACGTCGCGGATTCTTGTAGAGCATAAAATTTCCCAAAGAATCTATACCATTATTATTTTTTTTAATTCAAAAATTCGTATGTTTGAAAGCTTTGAAAAGTGTAAAAAATCACTAAAACTTCAGTTTGTAGTGATTTTTTACACTTTTCAAAGCTTTCAAACATACGAATTTTTGAATTAAAAAAATAATCCTGGTATAGATTCTTTGGGAAATTTTATGCTCTACAAGAATCCGCGACGTAAAAAATTTTATCTCAAACGGTTCAAAAGTTATAGTCTTTTTAATGAAAAAAGATTTTTTTACGTGTTATATCAATGGAAAACTTAGAATGCTCACCGACACCTTTTAAAATTGAGCAAAAAATTTTGCCTTGCAGGGAAATTTTTTGCTCGGTATGTAGGTTCATTTTAACCCATAAATCCGATAGGTTAGTTTTTTTGGCTCACCCTAGTATATATATATATTACAGTATTTTTTAATGATACAAACTATTCATAAAGTATCGCCATTTATAATATTAAATAGTATCTAATAGATATGTTAAAATTTGGAAACTTAAAATAAATAAAAATATTAGCTTAAAGGTTTTTTCCCCCAAGCAGACTTTTACCTAACTGTATCAAAGAATTCCCCAACTAACGAGTATCTTTAGTCGGTCAGTCTTCGTCTTTGCTTTGATAGGCTTTGTTCCTAACATGTTCGCAACGCTAACAGTTTTTCAATTACAAAGGCATTACAATAAATAGTTACACGATGGGACTTATACCACATCAAATGATAACTATGTTATTGTTATTGTTAATAATTATGGATGTTCAAAGTGCAAAATTAAAAACCCATAAGAAAAATAAACGTGATGAGAAGGACATTACAAATTATAGACTTAATGGAACTAATGATGGACATGGCCCGCATAATAAAGGTAAGGTATATTTTTTATTTAATTATCTATTTTAATAAATACATAAAAATTATTTGTTATTAATTTATTTTATTTTAAGTGGATTTACAAATGTATTTAATAAATTTATTACAATAATATTTTATTTATAATTAAGTTTGGTACCTTTAAGTTAATTATACCGATATAAATTATATTGAATATTTTTTGACTTTTTTAAAAACCAATAGAAACTTTTAATTTCATTCATGTGCTTCCGTTTTATCCAATCAAAATATTATTATAGTTGAACTAATCAACTTTAAATTACATTATAGCTGAGAGAATAATTTAATTTTTTTTAACATTTGTGTTTATTGTTAAGGCATTGTTGGGGAAATGTTACGTCAAACATATTTTAACGAATACAACACTAGAGATCGATATATTAATAATAATTATACAGATATTTTATCAAGCCTATTGTCATTTGGCATTATTTTCAATGTATTCACTACACTACTACTGAAAAAAGCTAAAATATCTTGATAATCTTAAATGAATGTAGGTACTTCTAAATACCAATCGTGACTACTTTATATGGGCAAATTATAATTATTTGCGAATATTGCTAAAGCAACCGAACATTGTTATAAAAATTAATTAGTCAAAAATGACAAATTACTACAGTTATTAGTGGCTGCTTTTTCACGTGTACCATGGTTAACCATGGGATACCATGGTATCCCAAAATTTAACAGCCAATTATTGTAAAATTGTCCCCTGAATGCGAAAATACCGTCAAAAATTATGAAATTAGAGCAGTTTTTGAGATATAGTCAATACCATATTAAATGAAAAATTGACTATATCTCAAAAACTGTTTTACTTTTTTTAACTTTTTCTGATTCAGGGGACAATTTTAACGAATTATTAGTGGCTGCTTTTTTGCTATGGCAATTAGTCATTTTTGACTAATTCATTTTTAAATATTAGGTTCATTTATATTATACATTGTATAACTTGTTGGGTAATATTGTTTATTTATATAGGTACATAATGTATAATGTATAATCCAATTATTTTTTGTTATATGGTTTTATAACATTTAAATAAATGTATTTACTTTTAAAAAATATAAGATTTGTAAACAAATATATTGTACTATTTTAGATTCAAGCAACGAGGGAAAGAAAACAAAAGAGAAGCCAGACATGATGCAAAAAATTTTGCCAATGATGATAACTCCGTTCATGATTTCTACTTCAATTATACCGATGATGCTGATGTCTCTAAAATTTATGATGATGAAGAGCGCATTAGTAGGTTCAGTGGCGGTCGTTTTAATGTTAATGAATATGCTAAGAGGTATAAATAATAACGGAGGTGTGTTAACGCATAATTTAAACCAAAGGGACCTGGCGTTGGCCCATTATGGTTATGGTGGCGATGAAGAGTATGGGGCGTATGTTAACAAAAGGAAAAGAAAAAGGTGAAAAGACATTAAGTTCTCGTAAATAAATTTATATTTCTTATGGGTTATTTTTTTGAAATAATAAAATAAAAGTTCATAAAAAACAGTTTAGTCACATTTTATGAACTATTTCAGGGATTATTCTACTTAATTTACATTTAGTCAAATTTCCTGTATGATTAAACTGGGTAATTTAATTCAGTCATGGTTATGTTTGAATAACATTTATTTATTATATTTATTATGTGAAAACTGAGATTGAAAATAATGTCTGTAATGGATGTAATGCTATTAAAATAAATTATGGTTTCTTGATTTTTTTTATTATTACCAATTAGTTAAACATATTATCAAAAGTATTATACCTGTAAATGTAATTTTGAAGAAAGATATCGATTTATGATGACCCTCTTAGCTCTCCGCGTCATTAACGTTGACTGCGATTGAACCTGTGTTATGTTCTGCTCCATTGATCTCGTTAATCTGCGTGGCGTTTTGGTGGTTGTAAGTGCTGGTTTTCATTCAGTTGGTGGTCTCTGTGAATTGTCTCTTGTGTTGAGGTTTCTTGGACGTTTTTCACACAGTTCCATTTTAGACATTGTCGATGTCGCAGTTTTTAACGTGTATTTTTGTGATGTACTATGCTCCACTCCTCAAAGTCCCACCACGTGACCACGTACGGAACGCAGTCTTTTGAAAATTTGGCATTTAAGGCTTTTCAGGTTATGTATCTGTCAAAGTAAAGTCAATGAAAGAAATAATATTTATAGTGTTACCGCTTATGTTTAAGCGTTAAAAGTTTTAATAAATCTTTATAGTATCTCAATAACAATGGTTGGTTTAAGAATTTAGGAATATAAATACTGCATTTAATGAAATTCCAAAGTGTAAGGTGCAATATAAGTTATATTTTTATGCATTGGGTCTACATTTCTCCATAAAAAAGTTTTAACTAAACAGGATTTATTTAAAAAAATCTAACTTCTCTATTATGAAATAAGAATATCTGTATAAAAGGTAGGTTAATGTATTAGAACAAAAAATATCATCTAATTTTGTATTTTAAGGTTAGAAAAATAAATATAGGTATACTAAATAATTGTTGAATATGGTTCAAGTTAAATTGAAGCTTTTATACTTCTAACGACAAAACTTGTGCATACCTCTCGGCATACTTACTTTAAGTTAGATTATAAGAAAACAAACAATTTTTAGAGAAACTTGCAATGTGAAAATATTTAATACTCCCATGACATGTGATTTATTAAAATTTTTAAAATTATAATGATTTTTTGATGTAGATCAAATTTAGTCGAAGCTTTTTAACTATTTGTATTGACAAAACTTTATGTAGGTACACTTTAAGCTGGATAAGAAAAACTACCACATTTTTAAATACCATATTATACACTGTATAATATACAGTAGGGTAATTCAAAAAAAGCCTTTTTTTAAAAATGAACCCGCACTGGCCTAAATTATAAAGATTACATTAAAACTAAAATATTGATACCAAAAAATCCAAATTCGATGAATATTTAGAGGTCGCTCAAATCAATTTTCGTATTTTTGCACATTCGAGCCGCGAAATTTTTACTGCACAAAATAGTAAATAACTCCGTTAGTTTTTAATCGATATTATTAAAAATTTAAGGGTTACCTAGTTTTTTAATACCCTCTGAGACAATGTATTGAACTTTACAGAAAAATATTTTTTTTTCATGAAAAAAAATAATTTGTTAATAAAAACGTATCATCTTATAAAATAAGCAACAATTGGAATCGCACTATGATGGTACCGTAAAAAAACTAAGAAAATAACACTTAAATTATTTAGTATACAGAAAACCTGCCGAAAGAAATATTTTATTTGATTTATATAAAATATAACCTAAAAATAATTAAGTAATTTAGATTTTTTCCATTTTCAAACGATTTTATAAATAATTTATATCCGTTTTATTAATTATGACGTATTTTTATAATATTTCTTTATTTTTGATACCATATTTAATTAATTACACTAGGTAGTTATTAAATTAGGTCCTTTTTACAACTAAAATAAAATAACGTTAACTACAAAATTATTCACTCCATTAAGCAGAAATTTAAATTTTATTAAAATTATTCACATACAACAATTCTCAAATTTTGATACCAAAATTATTTGATTCTGTCTAGAAGTTGCTAAATTGACATACCACAATAATAATTATTATTCTTAAATTTTGATAGTAGGACCTACTACCAGGTAGTTGATAAATTATATAAATATAAATATATATATATACATTAGGGTGCTTCAAAAAAATTTTCGCTCTTACCCTCTCAAATGTTTTTATTTAATATAAAGAAAATCCTCACCAAATATGAGCGTTCCAGCTCAACTCTAAGAGGTCGCTGTTTTTATTTTAGTTTCCCATTGAATTAACATGGGAAAAAATTAATTTATGTTTGGAATTTTATACCTCTGTATCAAAGACGGGAGGTGAAAGGGGGCAAAACAAGGCAGCGGGGGGGGGGGGCAAAATGGGGTGCCCCATGTTAATCAAACTTCCACCTCAAGTCTGCTAATTTTACCAAAAAATTAAAAAAAAAAAAACAGAAAATTTGATGTTAATCAAACTTTGACCTCGAATAACTCTAGAAGAAATCAATTTATCGAAAAATAAAGAGACGCTTTTTGTAGAGCGTTAAATTTTATATAAGAAACTGCAATAATCATTGCCATAAGTTACTTTGATACAGAGGTATAAAATTCCAAATATAAAATTATTTTTTCCCATGTTAATTCAATGGGAAACTAAAATAAAAACATCGACCTCTTAGAGTTGAGCTGGAACGCTCATATTTGGTGAGGATTTTCTTTATATTAAATAAAAACATTTGAGAGGGTAAGAGCGAAAATTTTTTTGAAGCACCCTAATGTATATATATATATTTATATTTATATAATTTATCAACTACCTGGTAGTAGGTCCTACTATCAAAATTTAAGAATAATAATTATTATTGTGGTATGTCAATTTAGCAACTTCTAGACAGAATCAAATAATTTTGGTATCAAAATTTGAGAATTGTTGTATGTGAATAATTTTAATAAAATTTAAATTTTTGCTTAATGGAGTGAATAATTTTGTAGTTAACGTTATTTTATTTTAGTTGTAAAAAGAACCTAATTTAATAACTACCTAGTGTAATTAATTAAATATGGTATCAAAAATAAAGAAATATTATAAAAATACGTCATAATTAATAAAACGGATATAAATTATTTATAAAATCGTTTGAAAATGGAAAAAATCTAAATTACTTAATTATTTTTAGGTTATATTTTATATAAATCAAATAAAATATTTCTTTCGGCAGGTTTTCTGTATACTAAATAATTTAAGTGTTATTTTCTTAGTTTTTTTACGGTACCATCATAGTGCGATTCCAATTGTTGCTTATTTTATAAGATGATACGTTTTTATTAATAAATTATTTTTTTTCATGAAAAAAAAATATTTTTCTGTAAAGTTCAATACATTGTCTCAGAGGGTATTAAAAAACTAGGTAACCCTTAAATTTTTAATAATATCGATTAAAAACTAACGAAGTTATTTACTATTTTGTGCAGTAAAAATTTCGCGGCTCGAATGTGCAAAAATACGAAAATTGATTTGAGCGACCTCTAAATATTCATCGAATTTGGATTTTTTGGTATCAATATTTTAGTTTTAATGTAATCTTTATAATTTAGGCCAGTGCGGGTTCATTTTTAAAAAAAGGCTTTTTTTGAATCACCCTAATATACAGTCTTTTAAATAATCCAAAATACTTATTTATTTTGGTCAAAATAAATTTTTCTAACTTTAAAATTACAAAATTAGATGATATGTTTGTTATAATATATTAACCTACCTTTAAAACAGATATCCTTATTCCATAATAGAAAAGCTAGATTTTTTTTAATAAATGCTGTTTAGTTAAATTTATTTTATGGAGAAAACCAGATATTTGGACAAAATGCACAAAAATATTACTTATTTGGCACCATACACTTTAGAATTTCATTAAATGCAGTAATTATATTCTTAAATTCTTAAACCATCCATTGTTATTCTAATGTTATAAAGATTTATACATTTTTAACTCCTAAACAATATTATTTCATTCGTTGACTATACTTTGACAGATACATAACCTGAAAAGCCTTAAATGCCAAATTTTCAAAAGACTGCGTTCCGTACGTGGTCACTTGGTGGAACTTTGAGGTGTGGAGCATAGTACCGATTTTAATTTTATTCGAATTTGAATAGTTTTTAATTTACGTGTTTTCGGACTTGTAAAAATTTCCAAAAAACATTTTCGCACTTAAAAAAATTTCGCTTCGCTGGGACTTCAACTTCAGGAATAAAACCCAAACCAGCCCACGGAGGCCCAAGGGTCCGTGGGCCACCACCGCCAGGAAAGGCCCAAATGGCCCCAGACGACTTACGAAACTCAAAAAAGCGGAGTTGCCAGATTGGGCAAAAATTCCCAGAACCTGGGAATTTTCAAAAACCTGTGGAATCCCAACAAAAGAAGATCAGGGTCCAAACCTACCCCTACCCAAGCACATCGACCCTCAAGGCAGCGATGGAGAAACTCACAGGGATCACTAAGGGCACCCGAATCAACCAACATCAAGCCCCCTACAGACCAAACGGAGACCATCAAGAAGCTGACGGAAGCTCTGATGAGGAAGGACAATCAAATTGACGCAATGCATAGACAACTGAATGCACTCACCGAGGACAACCGAGTCCTTAGGCTAAAAATAGATGAACTCATATACAAAATGGAACAGTCAATGAATTTTCATACCGAAAAGGACCTCTCCAACAAGAAAAGGAAACTCTCCGAGAAAAACGAACAAGCCAACAACATCAAGAAAGCAACCCACAACCAGAGACGACAGAACAAACCAAACTCAAGACACCCAACCACAACCAAATACCTAAGAAGCCCACCAACCAAGAGGCCCCACAAGGGATAGTTCAAGACTCCACTCAACTGCCTTCAGGTCCAAATAACCCGACCATAGGGCTTAAAGAAAATCCTGACCCAGTGGTCAAAATCCCACCAATTGTCATCAGGCAAAAAGGAAACTGGACCACTCTCTCCAGGGACCTGATAAACAAGAGCATCAAATTCCACAAAGCCCAGAGCATTGCTGATGGAATAAGAGTCTTCCCCACCACCCCAGACGACTTCAGGAAACTCACCGCCTACCTAAATGCTGAGAATATACTGTATCACATCTTCCAACTCCCGGAAGAAAAACTTCTCCACATAGTTATTCGCGGAATACCCACCGAGATAGACATCAAAGAAGTCAAGGATGACCTTATCAGCAAAGGCCCGACCACCATCCATCGCATGACCAAGGGCCCCGAGAAAACAAAAATGCCTTTTATCCTGGTCTTCCTGCCAAGAACGGAAAAAGGAATTTTTGAAGTACAAGACATCCTTAATCTAAAGATCAGAATAGAAACACAAAAATCGAAACCTGCCATCAGCCAATGCTAGCGCTTTGGTCATGGCCAGAGCAGATGCACCGCCCCTCCTAAATGCGTCAAATGCGGTGGAGACCATCAATCGCAGGACTGCACCAAGTCCAGTGATACCTCAGCGGCCTGCCCGAACTGTAAACAGAACCACCCGGCCAGCTACAGAGGATGCGCGTACTACCCAAAAATCAACCCAAAGCCAATCGTACACCGAAACATCCAACCCGCAACAAGTTACGCCCAGGCCACAAAAGAGAACATCCCAACGACCTGTCCTCCCAGTTAAAAATGTTTAACAACATCTTCCAGCAGATGCAGATGATCGCAAGCCAAATCCAATCGATCCTATCCTCAGCAATGCCATACAACCATGCACCTCAAAATGCATAACACACGCAAACCAACCTTACTAAGAATACTCGCATGGAATGCAAACTCCCTGCGAAACAAGAAACAAGAATTTGCCGAGTTACTTTGCAGGCTTAGGATCGACGTGGCCTTGGTCGGCGAAACCCACTGGAAAACACCACCTTCCCAAACTATAGATCGTACCACAGAAACAGAGTTGGAAGAGAAGGAGGTGGCACTGCCATCTACGTAAAATCCAACATTGACCATTACGAAGACGCTGCCCCGATTCTTGATACCTTGGAAGCAAACGCCATTACTGCCAGCACATCCTCTGGGAAGCTAAAGCTCATATCCGCATACCACCCACCCCAAAGGCAAATCTCTCCCAGCGACTACCAAAACGCCATGAACATGGACAATACTCCAACCCTACTGGCCGGAGACCTAAACGCCAAACACCCCACCTGGGGCAGCAGACTGTCAAACCCCTACGGCAGAGCCCTGCTCAGAACTGCAAATCGCCATGCCTGGTTTCACGCCCCCAACACCCCTACAATTTACCCAACCCAAGGAGGACTACCGGACATTATAGATATCGCCATAACAAAAAACATCACGCAGCCTATAGAAATCGAGTCTCTGCAAGAGCTCATCTCAGACCATAACCCTCTTCTGATAAAACTGGGAACGGACCCAATAAATGAGCAGACTCACATCTTCAAAACCGACTGGGCAACATTTAGCAGAAAAGTCGAACAAACCTTTTCAGTTAAGTCTCACCAAAACGCCGACCAATTGGATGCCGCCATAAAAGACCTCCACCACACGCTGGCCGCTGCACTACAACACTCAACGAAGAGAATCCCAATTCCAGAAAACCAGGACATACCAAGGAGGGTCAGAAACCTTATTGCAGAGAAAAGACAGGCAATGAAACTGGCTCAACGCACCCTGGACCCTGCTCACAAAAGGGCAGCCAACAGACTGGGCAGAATGGTCAAATCCCAACTTGACCAACTCAAGACCGACAAGTGGGAAGACACCCTATCAAAACTAACTCCCGGACATGACAACCTCTGGAAACTGGTAAAAAAGGTAAAGGCAGCTCCCCAAACAATCCCACCCCTCAACGGCCCACAAGGCACAATCTTCGCCCCTGAAGGCAAAGCCGAAGTTTTCGCCGAGATGTTGGAACTACAATTCCAACCAAACGTTTTTCTCAACAACCCACAAGATGACCTAGAAACAGAACAACCTGTGACCAACGCCCTGTCACAAAACATCGACAACCCGGACGAAGAAATCACCGAAGAGGAACTAAAAATCAACATCAAGGCCCTTAAAGTCAAGAAGTCAGCCGGTCCAGACAAAATCACCAACCGGTTAATACAAAAACTCCCACCCGCTGCGATCCCAGGACTTAAAAAGTACCTTACGGCCATACTCAGACTGGTATGATGTTAAAAGGTTTTTGGTTAGAAATTAGACAATATATTTCCCATAACTATATATATTAGAGAATAAAGTACAAGTATAGGTACAGCCCTAAATACTGTCTTATTCAAATTATATCTAATATCTTACTAACTAACAAATTGATTACTAGGGATGGGATTTTAGTTATTTTACCTTTTTTCAACCGATGTAACTATTTGAAAACCAATAATGCCAAAATGTGTTTTAAAAGATTTTCTTTTATATGAACCTAACTTGTTTTCACCTTTTTTACCTTTTTTGGAGGTTTTTGCTTTAAACTACCTTTTTTATACTTTTCTTACCTATTTTTTTAACTAGTTTTCACCTTTTTTACCTTTTTTGGAGGTTTTTGCTTTAAACTACCTTTTTATACTTTTGTTACATATTTTTTAATTTGTCGTTTTATTTTCACATATTTGTTATCTATTTTTACGTAATTTTACTTATTTTATTTTTTTGTGTTCTTTTTAAATTTTCCGCCAATATTTTATCCAGGGCGTGCAACTCAACGGTATAGAATTTTTTCTTATGGTCACAGCATAGAAATTATTCTATTATTCTAAATTATTTCTATGGGTCACAGACTGTAACAGTAACTTTCTTTACAGTATTTCTTTGTATTGAGCTTATGTTCTGTCATAGAATTTCTGTGTAGTGAGTGTCACTCAGTGAAACACAGTTTATTGCATAGAAATAGTTTATTGTAGGGATGTTCTGTGTTTGGGTATGCGGCTAAACAAAATTATAAAAGAAACTTGAACTTTTAATGTTTTTTTTTACCTAAAATGCTGTTTTTTTAACCTAAAATGCTTTTTTTAGTACCTTTTTAGTTACCTATTTTTCAGTTTTTAGTACCTAAATATCCCATCCCTATTGATTACTAATTATAAGGTGCATATGAAAATATGCTACCTCAGGGAAATGACGTGGCGCACCTAGGGTTCATTGAATTATTTGTTAATAAAAGTCAGCAATTATAAAGTTATTAACTTGTATTTAAAGCCAATAATGTTTTAATATAAAATTACGGAAATATAAAATAATGACCCTAATGGTTCCACTACACTGGGCCACTTCCCAACAGCATGGAAGCACGCTGAAGTTGTGATGATACCAAAACCAGGAAACCCCAAAAATCAGCCCCAAAGCTACAGACCGATCAGCCTCCTCTCATCACTCTGGAAACTCGCAGAAAAATCCATCCTCCCCCCGGAACAATTCGGCTTCCGATCGGGCCACTCCACAGAATACCAGACGACAAGACTGAAGGAAATGATTCTCGAAGTAGCCAACTACCGCGACTCCACCGGGGTGGTTCTTATGGACGTTCAAAAGGCCTTTGACAGGGTGTGGCACACAGGCCTCCTTAAAAAGATGATCGACTTCGACTTTCCAATCCCAACCATAAGGCTCATAAAATCTTATCTCCGACACAGACGCTTCCGAGTCCTAGTCGAGAGAAAAACATCCGCAGACAGACCAATCCAACCGGTGTCCCACAAGGCTCCCTTCTGGGACCTCTACTCTACAACGTCTACACGGCAGACATTCCCCGAAGCGCAGGAACATCTCTCGCCTTATACGCAGACGACACCGCCTTGATCGCTTCCATTCGTGATACCAGCCTAATCTGCAAAAACCTAAACAACGCCTTACAAGTCCTAAACAAATGGTTTCACAAATGGTAAATCAAAATCAACCCCAGAAAAACTCAAGCAATGTTCCTATCTGTACGGAAAAGAAACCCAACAGACCCACTAAATCTAAACCTAGACGGTACCTCCATCCCTTGGGTGGACAACATCAAATACCTGGGAATCATCTTCGACAAGAGGATGAGATGGCAAAAACACATTGACGACAGGACAAATAAGGCAAGAGCGGCAATGAGAGAACTGGGACCAATCATCAACAACCAAGCCATATGTCTCAGGGTCAAATGCATCCTATACAAGACCGTCATTCTCCCATCCCTCACATACGGGGCCGCCACTTGGTGTAACGCAACCAACCAGCAACTAAAGAAACTCCAAACAGTTCAAAACATCGCAGCAAGAAGAATCACAAATGCTCCATGGTTCGTAAGAAACAAAGACATCGCCAGAGACCTACACCTCAGGGATATAAGCGTCGAAATCAACGAGAGAGTCAAAAGAACTGTGTCCGCCATGGAATCCAGCACAAGCCAAGAAATCAGGAACATTATGGACTACTCAAACAATGGAATATCCCAAAAAAAACAAGGAACTACCTCGAACAATAAATTCTAGTCATCTACACTCATTTCATGTCTATTCCTTTTATCTATTCTTCTTCGTCCCTGGTTCTTTCTACACTATTTTTTATCTTTTATCTATACAATTTTCTACACTTATTCCGTTTTTTTATGTCACCATATTTTAAATATTCGTCCAAGTCCCGTAGTGTTGAGACGTCAAAACAGACCCTTAAATGATATCAAAACTCAAATTTCCTTCCAAGTCGGGAAATCCATTCACATTGGGGCAGAGGAAATAAAAATAAATTTCCAACCCAGAAAAATAAGAAGACCACATGATTGGACGTTTTTCTATTTTAATGGCTTTACGGATGGTACGTTTGGTCCTGTGTTCGATGCTAGCCAAGACCCTTGTTTTTTCAAAGTAAATTTCATGGGAAGTTTTTCGGACGTGTTCAGCTAAGAAAGATGTTTTTTCTTGTTTTAAGACTGCGTTAAGATGTTCTTCGCTAGTTATAGAAAGGTGTGGATGGCTCTTATATTGAGCCTGTTAAAAATTAGACGACCTAGGTCAAATTTTGACCTACCCCATTTGGATCTAAAGGTCACTAAAAAAGCTCAATTTTGTCAAAAATTAATTTACGCTAGTGAAAAAATTATTCTTTAAGTACTTTTAATTAGTCCTTTAAAATATAAAGTTAATAGCCGACCCATGGGATTTAGAATATTAATAATTTAAACGAAAAATTGACTTTTTATTACTTGTGCAAATAAAGATA